ATTATCATATTGTGAAAACTCAGTTAGCAGAGGAGGTGGGTGGAAAGAAGGGTTGATTTGAATGTGCTGAGAGAAAGATGTAAGTAAGTAGCTATAAGACAGAGAGGGGATGTGTGATTGGATTTGGCTGAGTTGTAGGGCTGCTCTGGCTGTCGGGCAGCTGGCTGAATGGTAGGCTCCAGTTTTAATGGAAACGAATGGGCACAGGCAGAGGACTCTAATAGGGCCTTCAGAGATGATTCAAGACTTCAGAGTAAATCTGCGGTCACAAAGCAACACAGGTCTGCTCAAAGCCAGTTGAGACTCTTCTCATCTCATGCAATCTCTGCAGTACAGCGGTCTGTGTCACATGACAGCTTGCCTCAAAATAACTGCAGTCTGTTGCAACTTGGACAGATTTGAATCTGAATTTCCAATTATTTAGCACCTGACAACACAAAGTTTGAAGTAGAGATCTGTAACATTGCAATGAGTTTATAATGATTTATTAACATTTTAAATGTCAAACTGCTCTAGGTTTGATCAAGTTACAGAAGTCTCTCAGATCAATAAAACGGAAGGAAAAATGCTGTCCTACTCTCATCTTCTTCTTTTAACTGTGGTTACAATGATTTCAGTTAAAGCTGAACTATTGGATCGATCAATGAATCAATCTTTAGCGCAATTTCACAGCAAAACATTATAATTCAGTTCACCATTGCCCTCAGAAACAAGAGAAGATCATCACAGCAACACAAATACATGCATTTGGGTTCGCATTAGTTGATGTGGAGGTTCACTGAATTTGTTATAAGTAATGCTTGTTTAAAGTTAGATAGTATATCTAAGATGACTTCAAGAACATTGGAGTACCAAACAGAGCACAACAAGATTCAATTTCTGATGAATCCTCAAACTTCCTACATTCTTGACAACAGAGACCGCAGCTTGGTAAAGCCAGCAGCCTCAACCACCAGGACTTCTGCAAGTAACACAGCTGTTGAAATAATAGAGAAGCTTTTTAATTATGCTTCAAAAACATTTGCACCGTTAATATTTTGATCCTCAAAGCATGAGGTTCCCTTATATCTTGAAGCCTCTTGTATCAAGCTGCCCAATATCAGATATTTAATCTAATTTGCTGGCATGCAAAGCTGAAAACTCAAAATGTACTTGTATTTTTTACGTACTACGGACCCATATTTTGTTTGCCATGTTTGTTGTAGCATACAGGATGTTTTTTTGGAATGCAACTTCTGGGCTGTGTGCAGCTAGGAACGAAAAGTAAAACACACACACCATAAAAATGTAGCAATCAATTCAAATTACTGTCTCTCTCCTCCTCCTCTTTGTTTTCTGTCTGTGAGCACATCTGTGCTATGCAGGTATTCTGGCTCTCTTGGCAGAACAACAAAATTCAAACAGAAATCCAGCTAATACCTCTGAGAACAGACTGTTCAAAACATGGACTGCTTTATATTAGTCCCGTTCAAGAACGCAAGTGATATAAAGCAACAAGAATAAATAAGGTTGTTACTTGTTGAGTGACCACATCCACTAACTTTTATTTTTACAAGACTCTTAAGACCAATAACCAAAAAAAAATAGCCAGGTCACCTAACTGCAAATTTCATCTTTAACACTGTCAGTAAGCCTGTCGTAATAACCAATTAATTAATCAAATGATAAATTAAAATTAGCTGAATCATTTCCAGTCTCATGATTAATATCTTTTGAGAGGCAATTTTGTTAGAGTCCACAATCTTTTTTTATTTGTAATTTTGGTTGTATTTGGTTTTAATTTCCATTTGTTTTTTGTCATGTTTTATTTTTGATATTTAAAATGTCTTCCATTTTATGCGTGATGTGTTACAAAAATCTGATTTTATTGGTGTTTTAGCGAGGGAGGACTGGCATGATTATGCAATTATAATTACATTACCTGAAAATGTTCTGGATAAATGATTTATCGCAATCATTTTTGGGACAATTCATCATCCAGCAAACTTTGTTATTGTGACAGGCCTGTCATCAAATTTTGCTTGTTGAATAATTAAAAATGAAAAACTTATTGAGTTAAAAAATAAGCAAAACTACAAATAATGGAGCTAAAAAAAAAAAAAAAAAAACTGCACAACCACAGTTTTAAAAACTACATTTTTGATTGCAATATTAGCCAGAGGGCTGCCAAAGTGTAAGCTCATGATAAACATGTTTTTAAGTTTGTTAGGAAAAAAACAAACACAAAACATCTAATAGGAAAGTCTTACTCAACTACAAGAAGTGTTTGGATTTATAAGTTGCATAAAAAGTTGGAACAACATCTGTGTAAACATCATTTGCACTGCAAAACATCCCTCTCAAACCAGTTGAAAGGTGGTAAATAGCTTTGAAGTTGGTATGCCTGACAACTGGGTTTGCTAGAGTGTGGCTGAGTGTCTCTAATATAACATTTGCTTAGTCCGAGCGCTCCTTGGAGATGCATATGTTGCATGATGCGTGTCATTGTGCCTGAAGGAGGAGAGCTGCTCTGTCAAGTGGCCCCATTTAGCCTTGCCTCACTGTTGTTTGGTCAACCCACTGTGCAACAATGATGCCTGCAGGTTATGTCACAGAGAAAGTGAAGACGGAAAGAAAGAGAACGGACTGAAAATAAACTCTCAGGGTCACCTTAAAAGCACAGCCGAAGACGAGATGTGCTCCTCTTCAGAGTGAGCTTTTCAGAATCATGTGTGCTTTTCATAGAAGTAAAAGGACTTAGTGCACATAAAGACACAAAATCTCAATACAAACTGATATTCCTTTTCCTATATTAATCTTTGGGATATTTCTTTCAGGTTTGTACATGTAGAGACTTGCAGCCAATTTTTAGTGACGACCATCTGTGATCATCAATTTTCAGGTGTTGTAACTTCTTAATTTGATTTGAGACCGTACTTTGACTGGGCCATTTTATGCTTCATTTTAGACCATTCATTTAAACACAGCAGCATAAACAAACATTTAAATTACAGACAGTGGGTTCAGCAGATCAGGATTCAAAGCCATTCAATTTGAAGAAGCTTTCCTTTAGTGCTACTCTATATGGGCTCCCGTTGGTGGCCCATTATCTGCAACCAGTTTTAGCTTTCTGACACACAACATACAAAAACCAAAATCATAACTTTTTTCATCTTTTGATGAAAACAAAGGTCACTGACCTTGCTTGTAGTAAAGATTCTTTTAACCATGTCTTTTTTGGTTCCACTTTTCCATAGAGCTGGATGGCAAGCGTTTAATGTCAGCTGTTAAATTTTTTTTACGAATCTGAAACACTGTCAAGCTGGTGACACAACCTTTCCTGTTTTATCCACAGTTTTTAATCCACGCCATTGTTTTTATTTTAAAGCACATATGAGCCACAGTGGCAAACTTTAAACTACCGTATTTTCCAGACTATGAGTCGCAGTTTTTTTCATAGGCTGTAACACACCAAAAGTTTAGGATATTGTGTTAATATCACTGGTTTAAAGCTCTCCACAACTTTAAACCCGACTTGCCATCATTTGCTCACTGCTGTTCTCTAGCAAACCTCTGATGCCTTCCCACAACAGCTGGATGTGCACTCAGATTAAATTGCACAGATGGACTCTTAATGAACTTTTAAAGTGATTGGAAGACAATCTTTTAAGATGCAGAGAAAGAAAAACTAATTTCTAAAGAATTTTGAACACCATTTTTCTTCCACAATATAATTAGGTAATGTTAAAGGGGTATGCCATTTTTTATTTTTGCAAGGTTCTTTTATGTAAGCCACATTTTAACTCTAATCACATTTCCAACAATGTTATGATGATGTTTATGGATTAGATTTATTCTAGAACTCATGAGACCTTATAAAGTACAAAGCCTGTAATTGATAGATAGCAGTTCTATTATCATAGCAAAAGTTTTCAATTTGAAAACGTCTCTTAGCAACACAGATTTACATTTAAAGAAAATTTCATTTCTACACTTCTCTAAATGCACGCTGCTTGTGCCTATAGGTTTGCAGCCATAGCTTTCAACACAAAAAGCTGAAATTTTAGTAATATGAAGTACTTTATACCTTCTTAGATACCATCAGTTAACCTTTGTCAGAGACCCACAATTCTGAAGCACATTAGCTTAAAGTGCTGCTTTTTAAGGTTTTTGTGGTACACTCTGGAAGACCAACTCCGTCCTAAAAGGTCTGTCCATCAGCAAACGCTCCATCTGGTCAGCCATTGTGTACGACTTTGATTTTGTCTTTATGCTCTGCAAACACAGCATACGAACTCATTCACAGGCTCGCTGAGCTGCATGTCTTACAGAACTGTAGGCTTTTACCTTCAGAGGGTGAGATGAAAATCAATGTTGCCTGCCCTTTAAAACAATTCACAGCTGTGGAGTTTCTCAGGGGGCTGGAATGAGCTCACTCCTCCCGCTTTCATATGTCTTACAGCATGGAGTTCTGCAGTAACAATCCGTCCACTCCCTCAATTTCTTTAAGACCCTAAATTAACCAAAGAAGTCTTACAGAAGGCATTCACTCAAAAAAAGATATTTTATGACCTGGATGTTTATGGCAGCTCATTATGAAATAGTACATTCTACTTAGGCTTCCACACTTCTACTGATTCACGTCTAAATACAGACAAACTGCAACACATTGTTTGGTAGTTCACAGCAATATTCTGTTGACTGAAAATATGAACTAGGCAAACTTTAGCGCCGAGTACACGTGTAGAAAAGCAACATGATTCCAGGCTATCAGTAATACAGTTTGACTGAGACTAACATTTATGTAAACATGCATTCCACTTCACTTATTATGCTTCCTTGGACAGGTTAAGATACATAAAACTTTTGTACAAGAGATTTTAGTCTGATCAGTTCTGCCCATTCTGAGCTACTTTCAGAATGAACTGTCACTTAAAATCAAAATAAGCTCTTGTTTGCCAAGATAATAATTTGGTAATGAGAGCAGCGAGACAATAAGTAGAGGATAATAGATGGATTACCTGTGCTCTGACTCGTGGATTGAGAATATGACTCCCGATGTGGAGGACTTCTGCTGGATGGTGGCCAAGAAGGTGAATTCACTTTTACTCCTGAACAGTTGCACCACTCTTTCTGTGATGTGTGGTGGGGCGTGAACTGCCCTCCCAACATCTAGAGGAATAAAATAAAATAAAACAAAGGTTAAACTCTTTTCACAGCCAGTGCACCGTCTGGCCCCCTTCTCTGCTACTGTCACCAGTATGAAAAAACTATTACTGGGCTCACATGGCAAAATATTTTTGCACTTCTTTTCTGCAATAGAAGTTTATCTAGCATATTGTAGAAAAATAAATACATAAAACTGTTGGTGTGATGAATCTTCATGTGCCAATTTAGCAGCCTTAACATTTTTAAGTGGATGTGTGCATTTCTATTCTTTTGTGCCAAATATGTAAATTTTTCCTTTTTGGCCTGGAGCAATGTTCTTCTTAAGTTCAACTTGGTTATCCATAAGCGATCTAAACTGAATAACCAATACGTTATGTTTTCTGTCAATCTCATTCAGTCCATGTGTAATTTATGTGAAACAAAGCTGAACCAAATTTATAAAACTCGCTGGAGACAAGAACAACAACAAAACCTCTAGACGGAGTATCTGGAAATTCAAGGCTAGTTTGTTAAAGTTTGGGTTTAGATGGAAAGAAATCTTGTATAATAAGCAATAAGGCTCTTTATGATCCAAATTCTACAAAAATCTACTGCTAAAAAGCCAAGCCCTGATACCTGATTTTATTCTAGATCAATAAGTCTAGGAGGCCGAGTCGTTTTTGTGAAACAGTTCTGATTAAACATGCCCCTAATGATGATAATGATTACATTCGGGATCTGCTACAAACTCATTAGTGCCAGATAATTTAATTAACCTGTTTTCAGAACATGCAAAACATCCAACAAAGACATGGAAGGACCGTCACAATAACACATTTTCCTGGGCGATACATTATCCCAGTAATTATTATGATGAACGATAATATTGTTTTGAGACCATTTTCAAGTAATGTCAATGTTTGTCCTCTCATAGACCAATCAACTGTAATTTTGTTAAAAGAACCCCGATCACTGCACCTGGAAGATATTTTAAATATCAAAATAAATAAAAACCACAGCCAACAGAAAGCATAAAATATTATCGGAATGGAAAACATTGAGCTTATTTTAATTCAGCATGTGATTAATTGATTTACTGCACGGGGAGGACTTGTGCACATGCAGAGTGGAGGGAACATGTGCCTGAAACCCCAGAGCTGCAACTCCTGCGCTTCCACAGTGCAAGCTTTACATGACAGACAGTCCAGTGGAGAGAAGCCGGTAGTTGTCTCAAGCAAAGGGCTTTTAAATCTCCCCAGGGTGACAGCAGCCTGCCTGCCCTCACACTCAGCCTCCCCACTGTCACAGCCCAGTTGATGGAGAGTCACTTCTCCCAGCCTCTGACTTTTTTCCCCACATGCAGTCTCTCTGACCAGAGTCAGACATTAGATCATCCACTTTAATCGACAAGGACACCAGCCCGTTTCTACAGTGAGGATGCGGTCAGACCTCAGATTTCTTAACCTTCAACCAAGTGACAAATAAAACACAGCTGTCACACATCAAGGTCAACAATCATGCATTGATTTAATTATAGTACATATGCACATGTGACGTTCTTCCTCGTCACAGCCTTGATCAGTTCCAGCAAATTGAGGTAAAGACTTCTATCCAATAAATGTTGGACATTAATGTAGGCAAAGTTCACGCTGTGTAAATCAGGTTCTGAGATCAACTGTTTAATCTGATTGATTAGCTCATCCAGCAGCAGAAGACTACATCAGGACACCAGCATGGAAGGATCAACTAAACTGGGCAATAAGCTATTGCTGTGATTTCAGCTGCAGCATTCAGATGCTAGAGGCGACAGCTCGGAGTTAATGATGTGGAAGACTTGTTCTCTCTCTTTACTATTGTTTAAACACCAGAAATAGAGTCCATTCACTTAAAAACAAGTACATTTTTAAGCATCTTTACTTGAGGATTTATTTTTTGGGGGAACTTGTGACTTTCGACTCCACTACATTTCTAAGACGCTTATATTTATCTTCTGCTTTTCGCTCGGCATAGTTGATTTTACTTACAGTTAGTGTTGTTTTTAGTGGGGAGAAGAAAAAGGTGTTTTTTTCTTCTTTTTTGGGCAAAGGAATCCCTTAAATAAAATAATGAGAGTAATGAAAATAGCCATCATTCTTATTGCAGGTGGTGTGGACTTTATAGTAAAGTGGTTATACATGTCAATACATCATCAGGTTATCAGCAAGTTACAAGGTTCTGCAAAAGCACTCAAAAAATACAGCAATGTGCTGATATTAGAAAATATAATTTGTACTTTTGACTAATTAAAAATTAAAAGATCCCCAATGTAGCATTAGCATTGTGAGGTAGAAATATGGAACAACTTCATGCAGGATAACGTGTTCCAAGGTGACGATGCCTAAGCAGCCTGTTGCAGAAGTTCTAGTCTATTTCATTTTGATTTGCTCAAAGCATTTCTCCAGAATCAGTAAAAGTCTGTGCTGCTTAATGCTAATTTCTGCAAGTATTTCTTTTTAGACATCTGTATTAATAAGCACCTCTCATGAGTAACCATGCCAACAGGGAACTTGTTTACATGTAGGTACAGCTGATAAAAGCTGCCAAAGTTCATACTGTGTCCAGAATAACACCTCATCTCTGAGGATTGGAAGTGAATATGTAAAAAATGTAATTCAACCCAGAAAAGCAGAAAAAACAGCTAATTTTAACTACCTGTAGAGGCAATTAGCTCTTCTTCACCTTTGGTTTCTTCAGTTCCTTATTAGGACTGAAAGAAAAGGTCACACTTGGGTGCTTCAACAGCCAGTATATATTCTGGATATATAGATAGTTATATACAGTATTTGTCTCCAAGACTAACATCCATTGATGTCAAGTAATTATAGATTACAGTATTGACATTTCAAGAAAAAAAAAAATCAATAATTTTAGAAGCCAAGAATTTTTTATTTTTTTTTCCAGGAAAAAACTTTTATTTAAAGATTGATTTATGACAGCAACTTTAATGCAACACAAGTCGATTTTCAAATTCTAAACTTTTTTTGCTAAAAATGTAATTTCCTATGATACTGTGTACTGAGACAGTTCTACTACACATTTTTTTTAAACAAAGGAAGCATTCATTTATCATTTCTGTCTGAATCCCCAACATTGCAGTGATGATGAGGAGCGATAAAATGATTCTTAAAGCCTGTGCTGCATACATTACTCTCAGGTTCTTGTCGACATCAACAAAACCATTTACAATGACAGGGGGAACAGGTAGAGTGGGATGGTTTGTCACCCAGCAGTCAGGTTGAAGTTTAGCGTAGCAGGCAGCAGCCAGCTGTCGCCCCCCTCTCCTTCCCTATGTTACAGCTCATCACTTTAATCAGAAGCCTGGCGCTTCCTCCCCCAGCTTGGCAGAGTCTCACACATGTCCCCTTTAAGTGGCAGCGAGGAAGAGGAGCTAGTAGGAAGTCCAGAGAGCCTTCACTCACCAAAGCTGCAGTTAGGCAAGTCTCTGAGGACTTGAGTCTGATTTGATATGGAAAACTAGCATGACCATGTTTCTACCAGATAAGCACATTACCGCATAATGCTTCAGTCTTTGCCACAGGCACAAAGCAGATCAAGGCTGAATTTTCCAAAGTCCAGCATCCAAGAAACTTGCAAGAAAATGTCTCATTTTGCCTCTCTCTCAGAGAAAACACATGCCCTCCATGTACTGATATTTACAATTACTATCACAAAATTTAAAGAAACCAAAGTCAAAGATTGTCATACACACACTGCAAAAACAAAACCTTACCAAGTATTTGTTTAATTTCTAGTGCAAATATCTTAGTACAATTGAAATAAGACAAAACCAACTTACAAGTAACTTCAGGAAGATGTAGTAGTTTTAAGTCAATAATTCCTTCATATTGATATAAAGTACTAGTTCCACTGGCTTATTATTCCACTTATAACATGGGGAAAATGTTACGAGTGAAATAATCTGCCAGTGAATATATAACATTTTTAATCAATATTAATAAGTTACAAACCTAATACAAGCTCCGATATCTTGATAAAGTTTCTTGTAAGTTAGCGTTTCCTATTCATCGTACCAAAATACTTAGTTTATATCTTTGCAACAGAAACAATTAAAATTGAAAGAAAAAGTGATACTCTGACCATAATTGTGTTTATTAAAATCTACATAGTTCACAGCTCTTCTTATTTGTGAACTATATCATTGATACACATTACAATATGGTACAATATTTCATAATTTAAAATGAAATATGTTTGCTTAACGTTTTCAAAAATAGTTTCAGATGCAGGTGAAAAAGAAACTAAATGTAATTTAAAGTTCTTATTTGTTTCTCAACTTTTAAAGATTTCAAAAGCTAGATTACAGTTTCACTGTAGATGAGCCGAGTTACACCTGCACAAGTGATACAGATCCCTGGAGTTATATGTTTATATTTATTTTAGTCTTCTGCAATGAAATGCTTTCAGAAATATTTTGGAAACTATATTCAAAGGAGCTCTTTATTAAACTGGCCTTGTAGTCAAAAAAGGACACCAACCTTGCTTTTCTCTGACTTAGACTAAAAAAATATATACTAAAAAAAATTAATTCATGAATTTATGCCCTGTTAGGTGGACACATTTCACCTCACAAATTGAGCAATACTTCATCCATTTAATTCGTTGAGCTCACAATAAAATGTTTTGAAAATCAAAATGCCAGATTTTTTTACCATTACATACATTAACAGTGAATAAGTGCTTTTATCAGAGGAAAAACTGAGATCTCTATTCGTTCCCCACAGTGTTTTTCACCTGCTGCACAATTTCTGGCAGATTGAACCGAATGCAAAGGATTTTACATACAACTTAAACGCTGAATATATCTGCAGGATTCTGTCATAGACCTGGAATTATACTGGAACACAGCCAGGTTTATTCTGTGCTACAGTAAAATATGTTGAAAAGGAATTGTATTTTCTATATAGATGATGGTGGCTGTTCCTTAGTAAATGGAAATGTTCCACGGACAGTTAAGTTGACTGTAA